CCATAAAGCTCTATTTTGTTTGTCAGTCCAGATTACGGTGCACCAAAAGCTGTGAGGAATGTCAAGGTGTTGGGTATATTGTAACCTTGCTTCTCTTTGGCATTGATGCAGTAAAGGCTTCTTTCTGCCAACTCGACCATGCAGCTCATTTTTGTTCAAGTATCGTTATATTGTGCTCCTCGAAACAACCACACCATCTTTTTCCAGAGCAGCTTGTTTGTCTCCTGAGGTTATCTGTGGGTTTTTCTTTGTATCCCAAACAATTCTTCTGGCAGTTGTGGCTGCAATCTTTCTTGGTCTTCCTAATTTTGGCTTGGTATCAAGTTCCATTAACTTGTTACAAAAGTTTTTTGACAGCTCTTTTCTGCTCCTCATAGCTCATTATCTAGCCTGCACATGAGAGCTCACACACTTACTGACTATTTATACACAGACACTAATTACAATTTAAAAAGTCACAGATGTGGGAAATTAAACTAAAATAATTAAAACATATTTGCCATTTTAACCTGTGTGTGTCTGTGCCAAGACCGAACATTCCAGAGTATGTAAACTTTTGATCAGGGCCAGTTGGGTGATTTTTGCTATTATTATGATTTTCAAAGGAGCCAAACAACTATGTGGTAATAAATGGCTGCATATGATCACTATCCTTAAATAAAAGGCAGTTTTTTGGCATTATCAGTCATATTTTCAATATCAATGACAAAATGTCACGATTTCTGCCAGGCTATGGAAAGTTTTGAGCACAACTGTAGTTATATCCTTTTGTGTTCACATCAGATCTCATCTACTATAATATCAAAGGCCTGCTTTTTGACAGTAGGGCCAACATGTATTTTAGAGCCCCATTAGACACTGTGTGATCTGAAATAAAAGTGAAAACACTGAAATTAAGCAATGGTGATCAGCACAAGCTAGATGAGGGGGATTTCGGAACTCCGTTCAAGAAATGCTGAGCAGATAGAACCTTACATGAAGTCAGGTCCCAGGGTCATGTGCAGACAAGGCTTATTTATTACAGGTACTTATATAGTGCCGTCAATTTACACAGCACTTTACATATATATTGTATATTCACATCAGTCCCTAACCCTCAAGGGGTGTACAATCTAAGGTCCCTAACTCACATCCATACATACACATACTAGGGCCAATTTAAACAGGATCTAATTAACCTACCAGCATGTCTTTGGAGTGTGGGAGGAAACCGGAGTACTCGAAGGAAACCCACGCAGGCACAGGGAAAACATGCAAACTCCAGACAGGTGGTGTCGTGGCTGGGATTCCAACCAATGACCCTAGTACTGCCAGGCGGAAGTGCTAACCATTTAGCCACTGTGCTTTCTATCCATTTACATAGTTTTTCCAAACCTGTAGACTTTACCTTACCTTATCCGTGTGTGGGGAACTTTTGCAAAATCCAAGTATACCACGTCCACTGCCACCCCTCTATCCAAGGTTTTGCTCTCCTCCTCATCAAAAGGAATCAGCTTTGTCAACTGCTGTCTGTTGCTTAAAATATTTTTTTCCAGCAAGAACTCATCTATGTGGTCTGTTATTAAACTCTCCAGTATCTTCCTAACTAAAGAACTTAAACTAACAGGCCTATAATTACTTGGTAAAGATGTTGATCCCTTTTTAAATATTGGCACCACATTGGCCAAATTGGTGAAAAAGTTCATAGTGATTCTGATAGAAAGATATCAGAATACACAGTGCAGTGCAGTTTATTGCTTAGGAGGCTTTGTAGCTGGGTGACTGGTCAGGGTGCCTATGCTGACCCGTGTCCAATGCAAAAGCGGCCTCCAATGGGCATGTGAGCATTTGAACTGGATCTTGGAGTAACGGGAAAAGATGGCCTGATGAATGCAAGAATAGTTTGAGGAACACAACAAGTTTGAGGTGTTGACTTGGGCCTCCAAATTCTCCAGGTCTCAATCCAATCTAGTATCTGTGGAATGTTGTGGAAAAAGTCCGATCCACTGAGGGCCCAACTTGCAACTTACAGTACTTAAAGGATCTGCTACTGACAGCTTGGTGCCAGGCACCACAGCATACCTTCAGAGGTCTAGTGGAGTCTGTTTTGATAAGTTATGGTGGGTAGTCCTAATGTTATGGCTGATCGGTGTGTGTGTATATATGTACGTACAGAATTGAGTACACCCCTCACATTTTTATAAATATTTTATTATCTTTTGATGTGACAACACTGAAGAAATGACACTTTGCTACAATGTGACGTAGTGAGTGTACAGCTTGTATAACAGTGTACATTTGATGTCCCCTCAAAGTAACTCACCACACAACCATTAATGTCTAAACCGCTGGCAACAAAAGTGAGTACACCACTAATTGAAAATGTCCAAATTGGGTCCAATCAGTGTTGTCACATGAAAAGATAGAATAAAATATTTACAAAAATGTAAATAAATAAATATATATATATATGTATACACATACACACACACGCGTGCACGCACAGACATGCATATATACAACCCCAAATACAAAAAAAAGTTGGGACACTGTGTAAAATCTACATAAAAAAACAGAATGCAATGGTTTGCAAATCTTATAAACCCAGGTTTTATTCACAGATTGAAAATAGAAAACATACCAAATGTTTATATTAAGAAAATGTGCCATTTTAAGCTTTTATAAAAGCAGGGAATTTTGAAATTGATGGAAGCAACATGTCTCAAAAAAAGTTGGGACAAGGTAATAAAAAGCTGGCAAAATAAGTGGTACCAACAAGGCAGAGCTGGAAGAACATTTTGCAACTAATTAGGTTCATTGGCAACATGTCAGTAACATGATTGGGTATAAAAAGAGCATCTTAGAGAGTCAGAGTGTCTCAGAAGGTAAAGATGGGTAGAGGTTCACCAATCTGTGAAAAGTCGTGTCTAAAAATTGTCAAACAATTTCAGAATAGTGCTCTTCAATGTAAAATTGCAGACTTTAATTATATCATCATCTACAGTACAAAAGATCCAGAGAATCTGGAGAATTTTTGTGCACAAGGCTGAAACGCAGTATTGGATGCCTGTGATCTTCGGGCCCTCAGATGGTACTGCAGTAAAAACAGACATGGTTCTGTGGTGGACACCACTGCATGAGCTCAGGAATAAAGGCAGTCCCCGGGTTATGAACACGATAGGGTCTGTAGGTTTGTTTTTAAGTTGTAGTTGTATTCAAGTTTGAACAGGTAATTTTTTTAAGTGTAGTTCTAGCCCCAAAATAATTTTTGGATAGCATAACACCCCTGTAATGTTTGTTTTGCTGTCTGTGCTTCTGTTCAGAAAATTTCACCTCACTTTCTGTCCCTGTGATAATTGAATTTTGAAAATTTTGGGTTGTGGTAGAAACAAGGATTGGTGATAAACCTTCAGTGAGAACACCTTTTTCCCATTATAACTCTTACAGGAATGAATTTCCCTTCCTGGGGGTAGATTTCTTCTCACTGCTTGTTTCTCCCTCCGTTCGTATGTAGGAGTTATTTGTAACTTGGGGACTGCCTTCTAAAAATCAGGTCTCCATGCTGTCCAAAAATGCAAGGTTAAGCTCTATCATGTATAGAAGCTGCCATATCTCAACATGATAAAGAAACACTGCCGTCTTCTTGGGCCAAAGCTCATTTAAAGTGTTACTAAACCCAGGACCCTGCATTAACTATTTTTGGTATCCCACAGTACACACAACATTGAAGTGCAATTATTTTAGTAAGTATAAACTGCTAAATCCTTTTTTTCATCAACAGAGCAGCCTTGTGACTTCAGCAGAGCACTGGATAAATCTTGTAGGAGGAGTTTTCTTTCTGCTCTAGGAAGATGCAAAACCCCTAACTTCTTTCTGGACAGTGCTGATTGGCCCTGTGCTGTTCACATGCACTCTCCCAAGAAAAAAAAGAAACCTCTCTAGCATGCTTTACTGCATATTCGGACTGATTTTACTGTTGTGTGTTTAGTAACAATTTAAAATGGTCTGTTTCAAAGTGAAAAACTATCTGTAGTCAGACGAATCAAAATTTGACATTCTTTTTTGCAACCGTGGGACTCCTCTGGACTAAAGAGAGGGATTTTCCTGCTTATTAGCGCTCAGTTCAAAAGCCAGAATCTCTGATGGTATGGGGGTGCATTGGTGCATATGGAATGGGCAGCTTGCTCATCTGGAAAGGCACCATCGATGCTGAAATATATATCCAGGTTTTAAAGCAGAATATGCTCCCATCTAGACATCTTTTTCAGGAAAGGCCTTACATATTTGAACAGGACAGTACGAAACTGCATACTAGGGCAGCACAGTGACTAAATGGTTAGCAGTCCTGCCTGGCAGTACTAGGATCGTTGGTTCAAAACCCAACCACGCCACCACCTGCCTGGAGTTTGCATGTTCTCCCTGTGCCTGCATGGGTTTCCTCCAGGTACTCCGGTTTCCTCCCGCACTCCAAAGACATGCTGGTAGGTTAATTGGATCCTGTCTAAATTGGACCTAGTATGTATGAATGTGAGTTAGGGACTTTAGATTGTACGCCCCTTGAGGGTTAGGGACTGATGTGAATGTACAACATATATGTAAAGCACTGCTTAAATTGACAGCGCTATATAAGTACCTGAAATAATAATATTACTGCATCTATGGCAACAGCATGGCTTTTTAACCGCTTACCTACAAGGCACTTATACCCCCTTCCTGTCCAGGCCAATTTCCAGCTCTCAGCGCTTTCACACTTTGAATGACAATTGCGCGGTCATGCAACACTGTAACCATATGACATTTTTATCATTTTTTTGTGACAGAGCTTTACTTTGGTGGTATTTAATCACCTCTGGATTTTTTTTTTTTTTTTTTTTTTCTTAAACCAAAAAACCACTGAAAAAAAAAAAAAAAAATGTTTTTTCTTAGTTTTTGTTATAAAATTTTGTAAAGTGATTTTTCTCTTTCACTGATGTGCACTAATGAGGCTGTAGTGATGGGCACTGATAAGATGCACTGATGGACACTGATGAGGAGGCACTGGTAGGTGGCACTGATGGGCATTGACAGGCATCACTGATGGGCACTGAAAGGCAGCACTGATATATGGCACTGACTGGCACTGATAGGTGGCACTGACTGGCACTGATGGGTGACACTGAAGGGCAGCTCAGATGGGCACTGATATGTGGCATTGATGTGCACTGGTAGGCACTGATATGTGGCATTGATGTGGCACTGATGGGCACTGGCACGTGGCACTTCTGGGGCCACACTGATCATCAGGGCACACTGATCATCAGTGCCCTGATGACCAGTTTACATGTCCCCTCCGCGGAATGCCGATTACCGTCTCTCCTCTCGAGCTGTCGGCGTGACAGTTCGAGAGGAGAGAAATGCCGATAACCGGCATTTCCCTGTTTACATGTGATCAGCTGTGATTGGACACAGCTGATCACATGACCAAGCCGGCATCTTCGGCTCTTTCCGTTGATCGGTGATCTGTTGTCCGAGGGACACAGAGCACCGCCGATCCCCGCGCTGCGCGCTCCCTGAGTCGAGCATGCATGGTGATAATGGAAGGCCTATCAGAACGAGAGAACCACCTTGCACCCGTCATTGGACTATATGACGGGCAGGAGGTGGTTAATAAAGAGTCCAGGTGCTTAAAGTGGAACTGTACTGCATCAGAGCAACACAATCCAAAATGCTATTTAATTCATTGTTAATAATCAAAGCCTTTTCCCCCATCCATGTCTCCATGTTTTATTTTGTTGAGAAATCATTTTGAAAAAACACCCCCTGGAATTTCTGGCAGTGGCCATCTTGAGTGATGATTCATGTAGCATTTACTTCCTGGAATCTATTTGCCCTTAGCTCATGCATTGGCTGAGCTGATAACCCTTCCTCCCCTCCTGGAGACTCCTGGGATGTATGACATCATTTGCCTAGGCATGGAAACCAGGAAGTAACTGAAGAAATGAAAAAAAAAAAAGTTTAAAATAAGTATATATGATATACTTTCCTATCCATCTACAAATCTAGCAGCAGATGGATTGAAAATAAGTAAATGATGATTGAGAGAGTGAAGTTCCATTTTAAATTGCCTGCAGTCGCAACTTTTCACCTATTGAAAATATTTGAAACATCTTGAAACGAAAAATACGGCTGTCGTAAAATTCAAAATGACCTTATCTTTTTTTCTGAAAATGGTACATTTTCAGTTTAAACATTTGATATGTGGATCAATTTATATTGTGAATCAAATATGAGTTTATGAGATGATCAAATCATTGCACTCTGTGTAGATTTTACGCAACTTTTTTGGAACCAGAGTTGTGTGTGTGTGTATATACAGTCAGGTCCATAAATATTGGGACATCGACACAATTCTAACATTTCTGACTCTATACACCACCAGGTGTGTGTTATTCGCCATCATTATCCCAATTACACATGAGCAGATAACAAGGATCCAGAGTTCGTTTTCATGTGCTATTTGCATTTGGAATCTGTTGCTAGTCAACACTCAAGATGAGAATGCCAAAGAGCTGTCACTATCCAGTGAAGCAAGCCATCATTAGGCTGAAAAAAAAAACGAACAAAACCCCATCAGAGAGATAGGGCAATGGGTTTGAAATAAAACAAACAAGATGTGCTTTAACTGCAGACTGTCGGCTTTAATTTGAGGGTACACTTGAAACGAACTCTGGACCTTGTATCTGCTCATTGTAATTGGGATAATGAGGGAATAACACACACCTGGCCATGGAACAGCTGAGAAGCCAATTGTCCCATTACTTTTGGTCCCTTAACAAGTGGGAGGCACATATGCAAACTGTTGTAATTCCTACACCGTTCACCTGATTTGGATGTAAATACCCTGAAATTAAAGCTGACAGTCTGCAGTTAAAGCACATCTTGTTCGTTTCATTTCAAATCCATTGTGGTGGTGTATAGAGCCAAAAATGTTAGAATTGTGTTGATGTCCCTATATTTATGGACCTGACTGTATTTTGTTGTGTGTGTGTGTGTGTGTGTGTGTATATATATGTGTGTGTATATATATATATATATATATATTGTGGGATCTCGATTCAAAGTGGTAGAGCTTTTCATTTAAAGCACACAGCAACTCGCTTCTTTAAAGGGCCTTTTTGCCCAATTTTATTTAAACAAATGTCCCAGAACATAAAGCTTCCCACGCAGGGGTATCCACCATCAAACAAAACAATGATTCAGCCTCCTGGCTTATACTCAGCTTGATGTCTGTCTCCTGCAGACTTCTTCAAGAATTATGGCTCTTGCACACCGCTGGCCTCTAGCACACAGCTAGTCTCTAGCAGCCCCGTGCTGCTTTTGGCTTCCACCTCTCCTAGGTGGAGCCCTCCTGACTTCCAGGCAGTGACCTCCTGTCTTCCAAGTGGAGCCCTCCTGACTCCTGTCTGCCGGGGTGGAGCCCAGAACCCTGGTCCTGACTATCTAAAAGGCCTGCACACACCTGTGCAATCAGTCTCCTGGCCTATTCCAACACCTGGTCCCAGGATTGGAGATTTCATCCCTCCCAGATCTCTTTGAAATCTCCAGGCTCCAGATCCCAAAACAGACCTTACAAACAAAGGAGGAAAGTGAAAAGCCACTTTCCTCCGTATCAAACACTTACCCTGGATCCCCTCAACCTGCCTTGTTGAGAATCCTGGGTGACAGATCGCCCTACTGTCACAATATATATATATATATATATATATAAAACAATACATACTGTGTATATCAGATCACATATTTACCATCTACAGCCAGCAGGTGGTGCTCTCAAGTTAGTTCTCCACACATTAAGTACTATTCTATGAACACTTTGTAATTTGATGTGCTATTCAGAAAACACACATAATTAAATGAGTCAGAGGAGAGATACATTTCCTCTCTCTCCAGGTCATGCTGCGACTAATGAGGTTTCATTTAGAAAAAAGCAGTCAAATAGTGAACAGCGGGAGCTGGACTTTCTTATTAGATTGCTTCCAAGGGTAATTACAAAGTACTGTTTGTAATAATCCATGTTTCCTCGATTGAGTATAAATATGTATTTTTTTTAAGCACTGAGCATATGAAACAAAATATAAAAGCACAATTTGTTTCCTGTCATAGTTTGAGCTCTGTAATTAATAAGACAATATTGATAAACAATAAGCATTCCCCAGCCCCTGATAGAATCTTATCTTGCTGTTTACACATGGATTACACTCTGGTGGTTGAGCTTCTGACATCGGAGTACATAAGGACAGTGCCAGGAATCAATTATATCAGCCAGCTTGGCAGAGCCTCAGGCACAGTCTTCTCTTTAACCACAATGGGCAGATTATGTGAAGCATCACGGAGATGATAGTGTATGAAGGAAGCTGTGGGATTCACATGAAAGAGACAGTGTTTAGTGTTACAAGAACAGTGCTACCTGGGATCAGCTTTCTGTGGGAGAGCTAATTATGGTAAGGATGGGGGAAGTGATATAGCCTCTCATCCAAATATGGGACTTTGCTGCAGTTTTCAAGAGTACCTGTTGCTTATTATTATTACACACACACAGTATTTATATAGCGCCAACAGTTTGCTCAGCGCTGTACATTACAATGGGAGACAATACATGAGACAGTACAGTAGCAATACAATAAAATACATGAGGGGTTCAAGGGCCCTGCTCCTTGGAGCATATAAGAGGCTTGAATTATTAGCTCATTTCTGGATTTGACCAGACTATGCCAAATGCATTCATACAATACCTGTGTAGAGCATGATTTTTGGCATGTGGAGTGTATGAGTTGTGCTTTTGCACGTCCATATTTGTTATTTTTTATCAAAAGAATGGTTGCTTGAGAGTCATATCATATGTGCACAGTTGCCGTGTCATAATGTCTTTAGAAGGCTTTGACAGAAGTTCTTTTAAAAAGAGACCATGAGCCAATCAGAGCATGTGGAAATATACACTTGTGCTCAAATGTTTGCATACACTTGGAGAATTCTTAATATGCAGTATGTAACATTTTTATTTCTTCATATTTAACTGTAGGTCATAACAGAACGGCACAATTATAAATCAAAACATGGCAACAAGTGAAAAAAATTACCCCGTTCAAAATTCTACATACCCTTAGTTCTTAATACTGTGTATTGCCCCCTTTAGCATCAATGACAATGTGCAGTCTTTTGTAATAGTTGTCTATGATGCCCCAAATTCTTGCAGGTGGTATAGCTGCCCATTCATCTTGGGAAAGATGCCTCCAGGTCATGCAACCTACATGTGGGTATAGGATTATAACTTTTTTTTTATTTTCTATAGTTGAACTGGTTTGACTTTGGTCTTTTTTCAGCCAAACTATGTAACTATATATACAATGTCTTTGGTCATCTTGCATGAACCAAACGTTTGAGATCGTCCCAGAGTGGCGCGGTGGTATTAAAATCAGGAGATTGTGATGGCCACTCCAGAATCTTCACCTTTTTCTGCTGTAACCACTGGAGGGTCAACTTAGCCTTGTGCCTTGTTGTACTGGAAAGTCCAAGAGTGTCCCATGCACAGCATTCATGCAGAAGAATGCAAATTGCCTGCCAGTATTTCCTGATAACATGCTGCATTCATCTTGTCATCAATTTTCACAAGATTCTCTGTGCCTTTAGAGCTCTCACACCCTCAAAACATGAATGAGCCACCACCATGCATCACAGGGGTGGATGGTATTCTTGTCACTAACATAGTTCTTTTGGTTGTGGCAATAAAGCTCTGTTTTGGTTCTGCCACAGATAACAGTGTGTCAGAAGTTGTGAGGTGTGTCAAGGTCTTGTCAGTCATATTGTAACCGGGCCTTTTTTGTGGCATTGGTGCAGTAAAGGCTTTTTTCTGGCAATTCAACCATGCAGCTCATTTTTGTTCAACTATTGTCGTATTGTGCTCTTTGAATAAACCACACCCTCTTTTTCCAGAGCAGCCTCTGTTTATCCTGAGGTTACCTGTGGGTTTTTCTTTGTATCCCAAACAATTATTCTGGCAGTTGTGGCTGTCATCTTTTCTTGGTCTACCTGACCTTGGCTTGGTATGAAGAGATCCCCAAATATTCTACTTTTTAATAAGTGATTGAACAGTACTGACTGGCATGTTCAAGGCTTTGGATATCTTTTTCTGTCTTTAAAAAGTTCCATTATCTTGTTGCGCAGGTCTTTTGACAGTTTGTTTCTGCTTTTCATGGCTCAGTATCTAGCGTGCTCAGTGCATCCACGTGAGAGCTAACAAACTCGTTGACTATTTATACACAGACTCTAATGGCGATTTAAAGTGATTTTAAAAGCTGAAGGTTTTTTACCTTCATTCATTCTGTGCATGAAGGTAAAAAAAACCTTCTCTGTACAGCATCCCTCCCAGTCCCCTTTAATACTCACCTAAGCCCCTCTCTCGATCCAGCGATGTGCTCTGGAGTCTCAGCTATCCTGGGACTCCCTCTTCTCATTGGCAGTCGCAGCCAGTGAGCCAATA